GGGGAGGGGGGGTGGGACGGTGATTATACCAGTCACATCTGAGTTTGTGTCTGCTGTGGCTGAAGCACCCTTTGGGATGTTGGAGACCAAGCCCAAAGCTTGAGGTTCTGCAGGAGCTCTGCTGCTCTGACTATTTGCACGGTCTGTAGACAAATCACCAGTTGACCTCTCGCAGCTCTGTTCCCTAACTCTCTATACCCTTCAGAATTCAGTAGCGCAACAAATCCAGAATTTGGCTGTTTGCTAATGTTTCTCTGAGGTTTCTTTTTAGCCTGTCCACTGCTTTGCATCACAGCTTGTGAGAGGGGCTGAGTTTTGTGGATCCAGAGAGAGAAAGAATTGAATGACCTTTAAGATATATTTTCAAACTCTTCCACAAATTAAAGACCTGGTGCAGGAATTAGTGGGTGAATGTATTCGGTATATTTATGCCCTTCTGGCCTATGAAATCTGCAAAATGCCCAATTTCTTTTCTCCACCTTGCTGTGTCCCCACCTTACCTGCCAGAGGAGGGTGCAAACCCCATCTCTTCTGTCCCACCAAATGGGAATTCCACCTACTGATGCTTGATTGGGATTTGACATTGTAGGAAAGACTGTTTTCATCTGTGACTGGGACTATTTCTCATGCAATTTCTTCAAGAAAAGGGAATGAAAATGTCAGGCAAGAAACAGGTGATTGCTCTGACCATCTTTAGCTTCCAACTTGGCTGACACTGCAAAACAAATGGTAAGAGTAGTCAGGAAAGAGATACCACCTTCACTGTAAAATTAAACATGTCTTCTGTACTTTACTGGTTGCCATCACCCTTCATTGTCTTGGAAATTTTCCTTTTCAGGCTGCTTTCCCTTGTTTAAAGGGATCCATTGTGCTTTTTTCCCCAAGTACTACTTCTGTGTTTTCTGTCTTTTGCTGCACTACCTCAAGGGATGTTGTCCAGTTCCTCATGGGTCTCTGTCCCCTTAGGGCAAGCCCTCACTCAGTGTATACTGAAATAAGGGTGCACAAAAGAGGTGAGGGCTTTTCACCCTTCCCTATCCTTCTGTAGACATACCCTATAGATGGGAATTCTCACTCTGGACTGGAGATTGGGATAAATTTCCTTCAAAATAAGCCAAGATTTCCTGTAGTGGGATCAAAAGTATCTAGATTTACTGCCACACTCCCCTGAAAGAGTATGCAGTGCCCGCTAAACTGAATGTGCAAAGGGTGGCTGATGGTCTTTCTGTCCCTGGCAGGGAGTCACTGCTGTATACACTCGCCGGAGAGCGGCGCCAGGGAGAGAAGATGGAGCAGAGGCTGGGGAAGACAACCCGCGCCCGGAGGAACCTCTTTGGCCCCGTAGACCATGAGCAGCTGTGGCAGGACTTCCAGCACATGCTGCGCCACAGTGTTGAGGGGGCCCAGCAGAAGTGGAACTTCGATTTCCTCCGGGATGTGCCGATGGAGGGGCTTCTGCAGTGGGAAGAGCTTGAGGGCCACAAGGTGCCCGCCTTCTACCACAGCTGCATGGTGGGAGATGCTCAGAGACCACTGCAGCACTTGAACGGGTCACTGAGCAGGGAGGACAAGAGTCACCACTTTGCCCAGGTGGCACTGACTGAGAAACCCAAAACTTCTGAGAAAACAGGAGGCAAGAGGATCTCAGAAGGGAAGGAAAGAAGACAGACAGCTTTGACAGGTGTGTGAGACCCTGGTGTAGCTCAGATGATCAAACCTGGTCCCAGCAGCTGCTTAGAAATTATCTGGTGGGCCCGTAAACCAGTCTTGCTTTAAGAAAGTGCAAAACCTTCAAAGAAGCATCTGCAAGAGGAGGAAGGCACACTCTAAATCAATGGGCATGGGGCTTGTGTTCTTCAAAGGTGCCGTGACACAACCCCCCTCCTGGCCCTGGGGGTCTGTTTAGGGCTTGTCAGAGAGCAATAAGATAACGACCATTTCTTGCGGGAGGATAGTTGGGATGGTTAGTAGGGTTAGATGTTTAAAAAGGCAGTCTAAGAAAAGTAGTGAGGTGATTCCTCAAGCAGGAACCCAACAGGAAAACAGGGTTGCCCATCGGATGGGAGTTTTTGGTTTTTTGCTTGCTCGTACGTTTGGCTGTGTGCACCCTTTCCCGAGTTCAATACGCCAGCTAAGCCCTAGGAGGAAGACCAGAAACCAGAGAAAGCAGCCAGGTCTCCTGCTAACTTCAGCTTGGATATTATACTCAGTGAAGGCATCCAGGAATTTTAAGGGCAAATCGATCTTAAACTTGGCCAGGCGGCAGAAGGGGCTAGGTTTTCAAATGCCTCTCACCAGGACTTGCTGCCAGATGTACAAAGGAGTGGGTTTCAGCACCCATAAAAAAGCATCAAGTTTTTGAAACTCCTCAGCATCCTGCATGCTAAGCTCTTCTGAACATCTGGCCCCTCATTTTCTCTTCTCAACGGGATTTGAGTTTGTTTGAAAAATCTGATCCCATATATTAGATTTCCCTTGTCTGTATTGGGGTTTTGGTTTATCCAAGACTGAGGTTTTCAAGATGTAGACCAAGGATTTTCTTTTGGGAATTTGATGTGAGACACCAGCTTGAAATTGCCTAGAAGATAATTGAAGCTAAGGTTTCAGGAAACACTTTCTGAACAGTGATGTTGATCTCGGTTAAGTCAGACAATAGACTAATTTGCTATTTGAGGGTATGAAACTTAATTGCTAGCGAGAGGTTCAGGAAGAGGATGGAGATTAATGAACAGTGGAACATTGCACACTGGAGTACAGAACAATGATATTTAATGAGTGCTCTTTTCTTCTCCAAAGCACTTTACAGCCATTAACTAATTAACAGTATAATTTACAGGTAGGAGTACAGAAATGTAATTCAGAGCACAATGTTGTGATGGTTTGAGGGAACTGCTGTTCAACTGTAAATCTCTCACTAGGTATGTGGGAGTAAATTATGCAGATATTTCCAGGGGATATTTTTCTTCTGTTTTGTCTTCCCCAGGCAAGAAACATTTCATCAGGGGATGTGGAAACCAAGATACCACGCTGCACAGTTTAACACTTTCCCGCATGGGTTTTCATAAAACACTTTAGTCTAACAACAGTACCCTTCTCCCCAAGGAATCTGGGTGTGCAAGGTGGGCCAGGAAAATCGTTTGCAGTCTTCTCTTTTGGTGAAGCTTGGAGATCAGTCCGTCTCTCAATCCTTCTCTCACAGGCATGCACGCACACACACACACACACCCCCACACACACCCTACCCCCTCCCTTCTTACTGCCAGCTGAAGGATGCATTAGAAGTTTCCCTCTAGCTGCAGGAACCTTGTCGTTCTGGGCACGACTGAAGCAATTCAGGCAAAACTGAGCCAGGGAAAGTGACACATACTGATATGGTCTGTCCCCATGCTTCCACCCCTTCGCTCATCTTCTGCCATCCTGTAATGAAAGGTTAGTTTAGAATTGGGATCTGAGGTTGGATTTGAACTCAGTTATCTGCGTTCTGCTTTGGTCAACAAGAACACTGTAATGCTTTACATTAAGATCCAACAATGTGCGTTTAATTTAGACTTTCAAAGACAGCTGTGGCCCATTAAATAAATATCGATATATTAAAAACCAACCATGGGGTTTTGTGGGCATTGGCGCCTCCAGAGTGGAAGGAGCAGAGGTTTTCCTGCTGCATTTGACTCCTCAGACATGCAGAGAGCTAACCAGTACAAAAGTAGATTTTCCCTTCTATCTCCCAACCCTTTTATGTAGATTTACTCCATCTCCATTCTCTCTTTTTCATTGCGGACCCAGTGTGGTTCTGCTCTTTTTTCTGGGAGAGCCTCAAATTCAAAAGCAGCTCAGATACAGGCTATAAGCCTTTTTCACTTTTTACTTTCTTTTTTTTTTCCCCCCTGCTAATCAAGGTTGGCAAACCATGCCAGCTCTTCACTCCTCTTCTTCTCTTCCAGACTTTTTGGCTTGCCTCAGTCCGATACACTTAGGCCTTGGCTCTCCTGGAAGACATTCGTACATCCTTGTCTCCTTTGCAAAAGGTCAAAGAGAGAAAATTGGTAACAACCCTATGTTTTCACTAGCTGGTCTTACTTCTGAAGCAGATAGTTCATGCAAGATGGCTGGGGAGAAAATGGGGAGGAAAGGAAAGCAGGTATTTAGGTAGGTATATTTAAACAACAGAAATCTTTCCCTCCTAGCTCCCTGTGGCCAGGCTTTCCTACTGACAGGCTGCAGGCAGCATCCTCCTCAGTACCTTACTTATGCTGGTGCAAGTGCTGTTTAGGGTCCCTTAGGCAAGCCAGCCAATTTCCATGGACTCTGTTTAGCATCTTAGATGGAGGCTAGACCATCTGAATATGGCTCTGGGGAAGCTGCATCCCCCTGGCTTAATTTTAAGCGCCTCTATCAGTTTTGAAAGTAGGCTCCGTTATGTGGGCATCTGAGCAGTTGGGCTCTTGCTAAAATTCTTCACAGGCAGAAATGGGAATACCAGCTATTTAAGTCTTTTCTGAGTTTCATCTACTAAGCGTAATTCCTAATGCATTTCTTTTCCCAAAATAAAATGGAGGATAGCTATATAGAAGTCTTTTAAATAGGAGAAATAAGTAGTAAGGATTACATTTGGTAATGTAAGTTTGTTTTTCTTACTGGTATTCCTTTCCTCTGCTGCTCCACTGAGAGAATACAGCAGGTTAGAGTAATGGCGGGATTTGCTTTTCTACTGAGTTAGCAGTGCACGCTCCTGCCCGGGAGAATATACTCTCCTTGGGATCGCGTCCTGCTCCAGAAGTTTAACTTAGGGCTAGCTCAGGGACGGCTGCGCTCCATTGCACTGTGCCATGCAGACGTATCCTTAAGGAGGTTGGCTGCAGGACTTTCCTTGCACAAGCTTGGCTGTGAAGGTCTACGGAACTCTAGCCATCCTGCCAATAATGTTCTGCATTGAAATTAATGCAAGACTTTGTGCTGCTAGGACTCGATAGGTGTTGCCAATTTGACTATACAGAAAGCTCAGTTTTAAATATCATAGAGCCCACATCCTCAACTGAAATTGGAGCAAATTCATTACTGTGAATACAGACAATTTTTACCAGGTAAACCCCATGAACTCTAAATATAAATAAGCATCTACCTTCCATTTCAGCTCATTCTGCCTTATTTACCTGAAAAAAGTACGTATTTTTTGTGCGAGGCTGGGAGGCAGAGAAAGAACTCATAGGGAAACTCCTGTGTCGTAATTACAATTCTGTAGTTAAGGTTGATTTACGTTTGCACCTGAAACAGAGATTCAACCACACGTACGTATGAAAACGTAATGGGTGTTCTCCTCATCAGCCACAGTGCTTACTCTCTGAGCAAAGAATTAGTTATAATTCAGTGATAGTACAAGGTTTTATGCAGTCCTCCTTGAATCTGCAGTTTGATCTAATAAGCAGAAATAAAGCGCCCCATATATATAGTTCTTCTGATGTTATTTTGCGGAGTATTTTTTGTTACTTTTAAGGAGGAAAAAAAAGCCTATGTCTGGAAAGCACTGCAGCCGTGGATCTAAAAGTTGGAGTGAAATGTCACATTGCTCAGCTTGCATAAGAGCGTCCAAAGTCTTTTGATCTCAACTGGATAAAAGCCAGCACATTTCCTTTGTTTTGCTTGGTATTACATAGCTTTATGTGGAACATTCTAAAGGTATTAGTTTTGTTCATTCACGAGCCATAGAGAAGTCTAAATGACTTCTTCAACACGAAAACGAGATTTGAGAGATTTCTTGAAAAGCAGCAGTTATCAGTGTCATAGCGTTAATTCTGTTTATGTGTTGTTCTCCAGATTACTACTCGGCAAAGAAGCAGGTCAAAATGAATATGCATGCTGCTGCGAAGAAGTCAGCTTCTTGAAAGCAAGGAGAGGATTGCTCTGCACTGGAGAGCTTGGAAACATCTGCCAAGCTTCCTCAACCTTCAAAAACCGGGTGTGCAGGCTGCAGACACTTAGGGGCATCCCACAAAGACGTATTCCTGACAGCAGCAGTGAAAACAGAAAATACTTTCATTGCGATGGGGTCAGGCCAAATCAACTGGAATCACTTTGATGAGAAATTACTGGCCTTAAAAACCACTGGTAAGCAAGTTTGGACACTACAGAAATTGGCTAAGGCTAGCAGTTTAACGTGCACCGTACGTGAGAAAGTGGTAAACAGTTAAAACAACTGTATACGTGTAATAATGTGCTTGGACAAGTCACTGTACAGTTGGGGTCTTTGATGTTGTCACGTCTTTACATACCCTCTTTTTTGGTTTTAGCAGGGACGGCTTACTAAGTTTCACCATCTCAGCTTTACAGGTCTGACACACTAAAAAAAATTCCTAGCCCTTTCTGTGATTTTTTTTTTTTCAGGTACAGAATTTTGTGCTTGCAACTATTCAGGGCATAAGTGACAGCGCTTGGGTGCCAAACGTATATATTGCTGGGCTGTAAACGGAGACAGCTGAAATTATTTGGGAAAGTTTCCATTTATATCAGCAGCCATTTTAGCCCTGTATATCTGCCCCCTCCGCAAGAATTAGGTGGTTAAACTTATATGTTATGGGGAGAAATTTTCAGATATATTCTTGTATCTTTCAAGTCATTCCTGTTACCAGCTGGGCCAAATCCAGCCTGTATTTTGGGTTGTGCTGTTCCATCTAGGTCTATGAGTTTTCAGGGTGAAAAGGAAGGTAAAATTTGCTGTGCTTTTGTCCACAGTGTTTTAAAATGCCTGCTGGTTGTAAGAACATAGTAAGAATGAGGGAGACAGTTTAGTTGCCATTTTGTGCTTTTTATTTATACTACTAATCTTTCTATAAGAAGAGAAAGGGCATTAATAACACTGAAATGTTACACGTGCAACAGTCTTGGTGTTGCATGGACTGCTTTTCCATGGCATCTGTTAACATATACTTTTCCATTACCTACTTTTTATTTCCCTTTCTTATTCCCCTGACTAGTTGGGATAATTGAGGTTTTACAGCACATAATAATCAGCGGGTAAACCAGAAAAAGAAACCTATAAAATATATGCTCTAAATTACACTGCTGCATATGGCCTTAAGATGCACGCAGTGTTTAATGAACTCGTTTGGAAAGAGCTCTGTAAATGTCAGGGGTTTAGAACGACATGAGATGATGGACTGCTGCTTTTTATGTCAAATCCAAACAAACTAAGGTTTCTTTTGCATGGTAAAAATCAGCGTGCTCGTGTGTGTGTGTCAGGTGTACACACGAGAAGTGGTGTAAGCAAGTCATACACCCTGCATTACATGCAACTTCAGGAGGGTTTAGTGCATTTCTTTTTTCCCATTAAGAGCTACAAGTGTTTAGACATAAATAATAGTTGATTTTCCCCCAAATGGCACAAGGCAGTGATTTCACTCTGTTTCTGTATGCTGAGATAAAGATGCTCAGCAAATTGCAGGATCAGAGCCTGTTTCCAGCTACATACAAGAGTCACGAGGTACGATTTTCCCTCTGGAATTTTTTATTTAGTTAGGAACAAACCTTGCTCCAGCTGATGTCAAAGGGAGTTTTACCCAAATGAAGCAGGATGAGGGCCAACCTGGCAACTGCTGCTCGCAGAGCCTTCAGTGTGCTTGTGGGCCAGGCCAGTCTGTTACACGCTTTTCAGCCTGTTGTGTTGTAGCATAAAGGTGTGGGACTGGGCTTTTTGTATGTTTGGTTTTATTTTTAAACTTTGCTTGTGATGAGAACAGTCTATTCTTCTTTTTTTAAGTGTGGTGATTTTCTCTAATTAAGAAAAATTGCGCAACTGTCTCTCCATGTGTTAGTGATTTTAAAGCAGACCAATGACACCGTGCACCTTTTTGGTTTGTAGCAAGGTTACTTGCAGAATTACTTTCTGACCAGGATGGCACAAGCTGTGCATAAAAGCCCTGAAGTCTGCCATGCATGAGGTTATCGTGAAGTAGCTGAGTCTTTTTCTTTCAAGGGGAAAAGGGATGCTTCTCTTTATTAGGAGAAAGAATGACTGTCAATGTACTGCTGTCCCAAAGAAACAAGGAAGGATCTTTTTTTTTTTCATACTAATTCCAAAACAGCTTAGTGCTTAAGCGTACATTTAAAAGGAAGTATCTGCCTTAAATGCTTTGTAATCAGGACACTATAATGTCATAGGAATTCGTAAAACAATTATTTAAATTATCAGTAACAGGTTTTGGATACCAATGCAGATATTGGCCTTAGAGTGGAACTTCGATATATTCAGACTGAAAGGTGGAGACTGTGGTTGAACATTTGGCCTGTCCGTGTTTATAGCATCTTAATTAGCTGTGATTGTGACTGGGAGCTCAACGCTAGGGTAGAAAAGAGTTTTCTGCTGATTAGACAACGTGATGTCTTTCTGCTTGCTGATTATACATTTGTTAATGTTTTTTGAAATGATGGAATATTGGAGATGAAGATAACACAGTAACACAGAAGAAGGCGGAGGAGAGGGAAATACTGTTTTCATACCGGTGTTTGAAATGGGAAATTTATATACTTGTAGCAGAGGGCCTAATCCTCCCCTGGTGTACACTGTATTACAGCTCCACTGATCCGTGGTGGAACCACCTTTATTTACACCAGAGGAGAAGTGAGGCTGGATGTTTTGTACTAGTCCTTTTACTCTACAGAATAAATGGACAACTGTGTAAAGCCATTGCTTCCTTTCTACAGGAGTTTTAAAAGATAAAGAAAAATGGTTTCTGCTATATTTTTGTGTGTGTGACAGCCAAAACTAACAACAAACCTCTGATTAGTGTCTGAGCTTCATCATCACCAGGGTAGATAAAGTATATCTGTGTTTCATTACCATGCTGATGAGGAAACAGTGAAACATGGAATATTTCATCATTTTGCTCAACTTGTGAATTGCACTTTCTTGTTTAACACGGTATGCACAAGAGTATATGTCAGTATGTAGCAAAGCTGTAATAATAATATTTTTTTAATAGTAGGTGGGTCGAAAATATTCCCATTCTTTAAATGAGGCAGCAGACCTGATTGAAAAAGCAATACACTGAAGCTTTGGTCTGCTTCGTTCCTTGGGCATAAACAGTGTGTTGAACGTACCAGATTTAATCCTGTAACAAAGCTGTTAAGGGCTTATTTGCTGACCCGTGAGTTTGATGGGCTGCAGGGGTCTGTGGCCACCCAACCAAACCCCAAAGTGGCACTTTCTCATGATGAGAAGCAAGGGGATGTGTTCAGACTTTGGGCATTAAAGCCAGGGTAGCAGCACTGGTTTAAGGTCTTGTGTGGCTGTGTAAGCAGTACAAGGCAGAAGGGAGACTGCATCAGGAACCCACGGCATATTGTAACTTTGGTATGCTGATAAGTAGGTACAATTAACGTCTACCTGAGCCCTCCTCCTTCCGCTTTTTTGAATATAAGCTGCATGCGTGACTCAGGGCCATATATTACTCAACAGCCACAACCTGTTTTCCGCTGATACCATGGTGTGACCAGCGTACGCATTAGGGAAATCAGTAGTTCAGACTTTTTCCATCCGAGATAAGTGTGTCCCATGTGCAACACAACCTGAGCTGAAAATGGGACAGAGCAAGTCCCAGAACACTTGTTTTATGTTTGGTACAAACATGGAAATAATCTCTCAGGTATGGATTATTTCATTAAATTCCTTTCAGCAGCAATTGGAGAAGGTTGTTTCACTTGGGCGAAAAAGCCGGGAAAAGAGATTCTCCACGTGCTCCCAGTTATCTTCAGGGTGATGCAAGTACAGCTTTCTTCTACTTAAAGCAACTCCTCTGGAAGCTATTCTGAAATACCCTTCTGTAGGGTAGTATTGGTTTCCTTGGAGAAGCTATCAACTTGCTACAGTAGATGCTTTACTATTTTACCATTATCTTTTGGATCCTTGTTAATAGGCCTTAATATCACAGAAATATTTGGTTGGAAGGAAGCCTGGGAAGTCACCTCCATCCCGCTGCACTAAAGCAGGATCGGGCCTTGCTTATTCCAAAGCTTGCGAACTGCTGTGAGAAGCGATTTGCTCTGTTCACATGACAAATCTCAGGGGTAGCCAAGGTCAACAACGTTTCTCCTGAGATTCAGAGGGTCTCTGTTATACAAGGTGCTTTCTTTCAGGTATTCATTTTGCTCCGCTTGTTTTGTTGCAATGCCGCAGACACAGTTGAATTCCACATAAGCAAGCCGGTGTGTTGAACCATTTGGTTGTCGGATGCGGATATTTGCAATGTCATCAATAAATGCTGGTGCATAAATATGTTCTAATAGCAAAAGAAGTTGAATTTTCTTCTTTTTAGGCAGGTTCTTCTTGTTTTGTTTCTGCGCTGCTCTGACCTCGCCTCCCTGCGCTGATCCCCCTGTGCTGTTCCACTTTCTACAATTCATCACTTCCACTCACAAAACATTGTCTCGGGCTGTGGGGTAGTATAAGCTGAGCTGACCTACAGCCCAGAAAATGTGTTTCTGCAGTGGCTATTTCATGGTTTCCCACTGAGGTGTCACAAACCATATAGGAGGAAACTTTTTTTTTCCTTTCTTCATTTCTGAGACTTTTTTTGCTTAGGAAATGCTGCCTCTTACTTTCAGCAATCTGTTCCCTTGGCAAGAAATACGACTATCAGGTGTTTAAAATTAAAGTTGTTAAAATCAAATTTGCAAAGGCAGGAGGGTTTGCCCCAGTGTCCTGGACATAGTCCAACTTTGGTAATTACGTCTCGCCTAACTAAATCCTTCTTGCAGTTTCATGGCATTCTTCCTGTCCCGCTGAAATCTGCTACGGAGAGCTGCTGTGACATGACATGTTAAACATCTGCCGTGTTTTTACCCAGAAGTGGCTGTGCTTCAATAGGAGACAAAGTGATTTATAATATATGGCATGCATACACACAGATTTTTTTATTACAATGACTTCTGCTGAACTGGAGGAGTTACTTAGGAGCAGCAGTTCTGAAAAACAATCAGCTCGGGAACTAAATACGGATTTAAAGGTCTGATTCTCTAGGTCCCTCTTTCAAATGATCTTTTCCAAACCCATATCTTTGTCTTATAAGGAGGCACTGACAAGTGGCGGGTTCATGTGATCAGCTGTGTTTGTAGGATAATAACCTTCACTCTGCCCATTAATCCCCTCCGTAAAGGCAAGGAGCATTCCAAAGCGCTGAGCAGCTTCGGCGGGTGGGGGGGTAAAACCAACATGTACGCACCTGCTAAATAAATATTTTTCCTAGCTTGGTATGAACCTGACATTTCTTCCTGCGCAATTACATCGGCGAGAGGCCAAAGACAGTAGTTCATCCCACTGCAACGCTGATGGGCCAAGGTAAACTGGTGATTGGAAGGGAGTGCCCCGGGCGAGTGTTTTGCAGCACTGGCTGGGGACCTCTACTGGTCCCTGAAACTTCAGGAGAGGATCCACATACCAATTAAAACTATTTTCAAAAATAGAAACGATGCACATTCTCACAGCACAGCAGCAAGGAGGCAAAATGGAGAAAATACACAGATGTGCAAAGATCAGCCCAGTGTTTTGCTGCTGTAAATGAAACTGTTGTGGCAGCGGTAATACAATTGGTCTGCTGACTCATTTTCCTAAAAATTTAGGTGGTCCTTGGCATGAAGAAAGTGGAGAAAGACTCTCATGATCCCATTGGAAAAGGGAAACTCACAGGATCAGGGTGGTGCATAGCACTTACTTCTGGTTTTAAAGAGTCAAGCCATTTTACACTTTAAAATCACAACTTTATACTGAGCAGAAAAACTTTATTATGAATATTTTTAAATCCCTGTCTCGGATATGTCCTTGGACCTGGAGCTGTGCCACTAAGTACGTGATGAATGAAATCTCTTTAAAACTCTGTGATAGGAAAACACCCATTCTAATTGTTTCGGATCATCTGCATCCTGCGTTTGGTTACGTGGGATAATAGAGACCATCTGTCTCCCTTCTTTCCAATATGTGGATGTATATCTGTGTGTGGAGCTGTTTTCGCTGACACAGTGCATAGACCCTCCCAAACGTGTGTTAAGAAAATGTGTGTACCCAGGAACGGCCAACCTTTCTGACCTTACAAGCCACGTATCAAATGCTTCGTACAGCCAAGAACCACAAGATGCACGTTTTGGCGTGTCGAGGAAAGCAAGGAGCTCCAGGAATGAATGGGAAACGCCGGCGACTCTGCTTTACCCCCACCAGTCTGTTGGGGCACCGGGCTGGGTCCCAGAGCAGCACAGGGATGCTGTTATCGGCAGCGGCATCTGGCGCTGTCTCCCCTAAAGGGAAATGAGAGACACTATCTGAATCTCTGTCCTTTTATAGGGTTTTATATAACCTTTTATACAACCCGCTCGTACACGGTTGTCGTGCCCGTGCAGATGCGTGCACACAAAATCTCACTAGCAATATCGGGACCCAGAGTATGTTGGGCTAAGAGCGGAAGGATAGGTGTGGAAACGAAGGGTGGAGAGGCTCATGTCAGGCATTTGAACCATGTAAAAAGAGCATCAAGATGTCACCAGCCCTTGGGGAGTAAAAGTTCATTTCTGTTCAAGAAAAATTTGTGCGGTTCCGTGCATTTCCCCTTGGTTTCAGAGTAAAAAGCTGCAGTGACATTTCCCTTTTCTTAAAACACAGGTTATTTAAAAACCTGCATCAGTTATCAGCTGGCTTTTTGCTGCGGGATGGCGGGGACAGTGCCGCTCGGACCAGGGCAGCACCGGGGGGAGCCGTGTACCTCCCCCTGCCTCCATGGCAGGCACCACCTCTGAAGGTTTCTCAGCCAAAAAGATGGCAAGGGGGTTATTGAGAACTGTAAATCAAGCGCAGTGGAGATAAATAGGCTTTACAGCGCAGCTACATTAAGCTACAGCTCCCCGTTCTACAAATGCACCTTTTGCTGAGATATTGCAATAGTGGACTTTAAAGGCAGTCAAGCAGTACAAGCACATTTCTTCACTCAGATTAAAAGCATTGTTTAAATTCTTGCGGCTAGACAGTTTGTCTTGTCCTTTAAAAAAAAAGAAGCCCTACTAAACAGCGAAGCAGCATAAGGAGGCTGGGACGTAGGACTGAGACCGCAGGGAATTTTTAGCTTGCATGCTGCAAATCAAGATCAGCCTTTTTACCTTTCCACAATCTTTCTGCCTTTGTTATTTGTTGTTACCACGAAATCTTATTCTAAGAGCTTCTCAGATGTTAGAATTAGATGATGTCTCTGGAAAATGGTGCCACGGTCTGGATAAACATAGCCATGAATAAAATATTTTGTTACAACACCTTTCATCCAGCAAGACTTCAGGGAAAAAAAAAACCCACACATATTTATTATTTAATAATTAATAAAATATTTATAAATGTTCTTATTTATTATGTATATGTATCCATATATCTATATGTAAATATATAGGGATACATATGTATTTGCATCTTATACACAAGGACTTTTTTGCCTCATACAAAGCAGTCCTGTTCCAGGGATAAACTGGAGCAGCAGACGGGTAACACATAATACTAGCATTGCCTTTTATATACCAAGAAAGAGACACAAAGCTCTTCCTGAGAGAGGGGCCTTGCAAAGGATGCGTCACAAGCTCCCCCGGGACTGCCAAGGACCAGGAGGGCGTCCATCACAGAACGTGATTTGGGAAACACCTGAGGTAACGTGGGATTTTCTGGTGGCCGGCGGCATTTGTTTGCATCCCGTCCCAAACACATCAGGCCATGCTCAGCAGAGGTTACTACGGAGAATACCTGTGATGTTTTAGGGCCATGCTGTGATTTCCGTATCTTACTGCACACTATCTGTCAGGAAGAGGACTGGCTAAAAAACATGGGCTGAAGGAAAAACAGAATGAGGATGTTCACATCTAAATTGTCCTACCTGGAGCAGAATAGGGTTGTCCCCCAGCACCAAAAAGCCTGGTAATGTCAACCTCAAAAACACGTCTCCCATGGCTGTTGTGGAGCAGGAGATGGGTAGACTTCAATAGACAGTACTTGTTTATGGGCAAAAGAATACCTGAATAAAAAAAAGGAAGAAGCCACTTGTCTACAGCCACAGGAACATCAGTCTCACCAGTGAAGAGAAGCACCTGTCATGAATCCCTGAACTCAACGTGTTCACCCAGCCATGGACTTCCCATGGTGTCAAAAAGAAGAATATAACATGATTTTCCTGATAACATTGTTTACTGTCTCCATGTCAGTCTGTAACTATTTTGCTGTAATTTGACATGGGAAGAAACCATAATTTGCATTGCTGAGGTATTAACCTCCTTTCATCTGCAACCTGTTTTATGAAGGAAATCCACACTAACGACTCAATAATATATATGTAAACTTTGGCATCTTACAGGTCAGAATAAGCAGATATATCCATGCAGCCACAGAACTAATTTAATAACATCTATTGTATAAAATGCAAATCTTATGCCATTTTTCAGTCCCCACCGGGGTGTTCCAGCAGTGTGACCAGTGCTCAGCAGGGCTGTAGGATCCAGCAGCAACTTTGCAATTCCGGATGCCATAATTTGCTTCAGCCCACTTCCAGCCTTTTTTTTTTTTTTAAACTTCTCCTCTTAGGGAACAATAATGAGATCGTCTGATAGTTTCGTGAAGGTGAGTGACTGATCGGTGTCTGAAAGAGAGGAAATGACAAAGCACCCAAGTTCTTGTTCTCACAGAGCAAACCTTTGCAGTGAGTATGTTGGGGTGTTTTTCGCTAAAAAAAACTCAAACCCAGGGTTTCATGCTAAGTGCAAATGAGCAGACTGCTCTGCCTTGCATTTTTGTACATGAATCCAGCCCAGCGAAAAAAAAAAAAAAAAGACGACTATTGAAGGCTTTGAAAAAAAAATAAAATCAGTGCGTGGAAAGGGGCTTAATACATTCACAACGTTATTTAGCTCTAACAAAGAGCAGCAACCCCAGATGACCTTCTGGCTCCTGTCTCCACCCAAGTTCCTGGCCTCTGTTCAACATCCTGGCAAAAGTTGCAGACATCCGCAACACAATGCCAAGTAGCTGTTTTGTCTGTAGATATGTAATAGAGATTAGCCGAGTGGTGGTGGGGAGCTGCAACACATAAACCAGCACCTCCAAACAGGGAGCTGGCATCCAATTCCCATCAAAGAGCCTTTTTCCCCGGCGGTGCCAAGCACCTCCTCGAGACTTTGGTGGCTGGGTAAGAGAGAAAAATTTCCACCGCTTCAGCTCAGGGGGGGGGTTACACGCTCCCCTCCCGAGCCCCCTCCCGCGTCAGTGCCCAG